GGATATGTCCAAAAATAAAAAAAGGAAATATTCTTCAGTCTGCACTCTGAATCCATCAGTTCTTTATCAGGAGGTAGATAACATGTTTCATCATTAGTCCTTTGGATTTGTGTTTGATCAGAGTTTCAAAGTCTTTCAAACTTAAACTTTTAAATATTGTTGTTATTGCATAAATTGTTCTCCTGGTTCTGCTCATTTCACTTTGCATCAGTTCATACAGATCTTCCCAGGTTTAAATAGAAATTTATTAACATATTCCCTTAATCATTTCTTACAGCCCAATAGTAGTATTCCATTGCCTTTATATAACCATAAGCCATTCTCCAGTTGATGAACACACCTGCAGTTTCCAGTTCTTTGCTACCACAAAAAGTAGCCACACTTTCCTTATCAACAAAGATTCAGTTTAATTTATAAGGACATTTTTACATGATTCATTTCTTTCAGTATCGTAGTAACCTGTTGGGAGACAGAAATCTCACATTCAGAATATCAATTTTTAAATTAATGTTTATAGCCTAATTGGTTCTTAAAACACTCTATCCCCTTTCCACAACTACTGCTGTCACTGTAAAACGGGAAGGATGCTGCAAAGGGTTGAAGTTAATTTTAAATTTTATTTGAAATTTAGGCTGATTTTAAATTTTTTTTCATCATTTTGTGGCCAGCCTGTTGTTGGTGAGCTTCTTTGTGTTTAGGTAGGCTGGTCATTAAATTTCAGGCATCATCTATTGCCAAAAGCATACATTATACCATACACCACATGTATTCCAAATATATAAACTATCAAAATATTAAAAGTCACAGCACAAAAAATTTAATAGAGAAAAATTATATCTTTTACAACTATAAGTAAGGGAAGAATTCATAACCAGACCAGACAAAGAGATTAAAAAGACAAGATACAGAATTTTCATTATAAAAATTTTAAAACTCTGCGCAAACAAACTCAGTGCAGCTAGAATTAAACTAGAAGAGTCAGGAAGAATATTCTGTGCCACATCTGATAAAAGCTTGATCTGCAGAATTTTTTGACATAAATTTAAGAGTTGTTCTCTAATAGAAATGTGAACAAAAGGTACAAACAAACCCTTGTTCAAAAAAAGTGCACTATCAATAGCTGCCTGAAAAATTGTTCAAAAATCACTAATAATCAGAGAAGTACAAATTAATACAATTTTGAAATATTTTCACATACTCATAAAATTGACAAAAATGAGGGGAAATGTGAAAATGTAATGTCTGAGGAACTATGGGAAGGAAGATATGCTAATTTACTGGTAGCAGAGCTTTGCTGATCCAGTCACTCAGAAAAACAAGTTGGAATTATGCAAGAAAAATTACAAAATTGTTCATACATTTTAACCCAGGAATTTCATTGCTGACCCCCAGGAGATTAACAAAAATAAGAGACTCATCTGTACAAAAATGTTCAAATGAGAATTGCTTATGATTTTTAAAGTTAGAAACAAATTATGTGCTTAATGAGTGAGGAATGACTGAGAAAACCCTAGCATATAAAAGTGATGGAATAGTATTCGGTTGTAAGAACTGATAAATGTGAATAGGAAAACATCAGATTATAGATCTGATGGTTACCTACAGGAAGGAGCTGGTTATTGGAGTAGAAATGACAGAGAAAGCCAGGTATTATCTAACATACACTCTTGGAAGAACAGATTTCATGGGATTCAAGAGAAAGATAGTAGGAGCTCATGGATCAAAATTCTGCATTCTACGTCAGCCTGTGAAGAATGAGAAGTTCTCAGAAAATGAAATACTACTTATACAAAGATGAGGAAAAAAGGGAGTTGTTCAAAGAGATCTACATGGAAAGATGCACAGAGGACTCACCATTCAAGTTAGATTTTTAAAAGAGAACCTACCATAAAAATGCAGGAAAGGCCAATCAAAAGAAAATGAATATAAAAGGGTGGTGTGTTACCCTTGGAACAGTATGATGAGTGCTGAAGCTGAAAATGACATGAGGCAGGTAAGAAAAGCTAATGTCAATAAAAAGGGCCTCAAAAATCTATATTGAGGAAAATAATATCAAAGAAAGGTGCTCCCCAAGTTGCTTAATTCTTTTGTGTTTGCTTTCTCTGCTAAAGATAATGAATGACATTTGGACTGAAAAGTCCAAAGTGATAGAGAGTGAGCTAATAAGTAAGACAAGTAGAGAGATGGAGAGAGTATCTCGCTACCCTTGATGAATCTACATCTTTGGCCCATGTGAACAACTTAGCAGATGAGACTATTGATCAAGTCCGTGACCTTTGAAAAATCATGGACAACAGGAAAAATGCTCTAGGATTGGCAGGAAAAAAATGGCTAAATTTTCAGAACAGAGGAAGAGAATAGAATCTGCAAACTATAGTCCAGTGAGCTTGACATAAATTCCTACAAAATCCTGCACAATATTATTAAAAGTAGTCCTTTAACTAGTTCCATGACTCTTCAGAGAACACCAGCAATTATTAAAGGATCATATCAAGAATCTCAGACCCCAGGACGTACTTTGTCAGGGCCAAGTGACTAGAATTATTTAAAGTTAGACTTATCAATTCTTGAGTTTGGGTTTTAGTTCTCTGTACACATTTGTTTTCAAATATGAACTCTTAATTTTTTGTTTCTTCTAAAAGAATTTAATTTCTTGAAGTTAGGGGCTGTTGTGTTTTTTTTTTCTTTATATCCCCTGAACTTAACACATTACCTGTCTATATAGTAGTCACTTAATAAATACCTATTGATTAATTGACTGATTGATTGAGACATCCTCTCTAGCCTGAGGATCATTCTGCTTAACAAAGAAGACAAGAGCAAAATTTAGAACTCAAAATCTGTTGAAAACTAAAAATAAATAAATAATTTTTAAAAGACACACCCTGAATACTCGACCCTCATTTCAGTCCAAGAAATTTCTACCCGTTATTCAAAACATCTAGTTCAAATGCCGTATTTTCCATGAAACTTTACATGTAATAATAGGCTCCGTATTAAATTCACTTATTGAATACAATAGAATCTCAGGAATTATTTTTGGATTTGACAACATTTGACATTTGACAAGGGCCTGTATTTTAAAAAAGGATGAGCACTTGTTCAAGTATTTATGCAAAGTGTTCAAGACCACACAAGAATTAAGAAGGTGAAAAATTGGCAAAGGATCAAGTTCACTGAGTTATTATCAATAAATCATTATACTCCCAGCACAAAATAGTATATTTTCTTAATAATAGGAAACTAGAGTACAATTTAGAAATAAGTTGGATGTGAATAGACATTACCAGTGCCTTATATGGTAAAACAGAATTCAAAGCAACAGTAGTAAATTGGAAAATTGGTAAGAAAAATGTGTAAATACACATAAGGAAGAAATGCATCCTTTAAACTATTCCTTATATCTATATCTGTAAAATTCAAATAATGACACGATTCCCCTTCATTAGCACTTGTAAGGAAGAAATTCGGTAAGTTATAAAAACACATTGAATATTTAGGGAAAGTGCAACTTAACTTGCTGAGAGGGATATATAACTTTCATATTATATTTGGCAAAACAATATGGAACCTATGTCTTTGTTCTTATGTTGTAATAGTTAGATATCATAGTTGATTTTTTCCAAGGCCCTTTTATCCTTAAAAGTTAACCTGTGAATGAGAAAACTCTAAAAGGATATTACAGTTATATAAGTAGCAACTAACAGCATAGTTCTAAGTAAACAATATAGCTTTCATTCATTCAATAAATATTTATTGACTGCTTGCAATTTTACAAAGCAAAGCACTGTTTTGAACTCTGGGGGAGACAGCTTATTTGACCCTGGCATCAATGTATGTAAGATGGATTGGAGAGAGGGTAGAGAAAGCTTTAGAAATAACCTAGGTAAAGGAAATGGATGACTGAGTAAGGACTGTGGTAGTGGGAAAGACAAGAAGGAAATAGATTTAAGAAGCACATTTTAAAGATAAAATAAGAAGCAACACAATTGTAGAATACATAAATAACAGCACATAGGAATTGCAAAACAATTTTCCTTTCATACTTTATACTAATGAGGTTTTAACTAGAGTACCATGTCCAAGTCCGAGCAGTACAGTCAAAAGAAGGTATTGTAAAACTTGGAAAGTATTCCGGAAAGATCACTAAAAATTGGAAAGTACATCTGAACAATGAACTATTCAGTTCATTGAAGAGAAAAGAAGGCCAACGGGTGATACTCTAATGAAGAGTTTTCACAAAAAGGATAATTGCCCATTGTTTTATTCACTCCTAGGTCCAGCATAAGATGACTAAAATGTAGAATAAGTTATTCTTGTTACATGTAACAATGAGGAATACTGAAGAAAAGGTTGAGTTACCATAGGAGATTATGAATTTTTTTTTTGAAACTCATGAAATCATAAAAGGAAACTCAAAAAATGAAAAAGACCTTAGAGATATCGAGACTGGTTACCTGAATTTTACAGTTTTGCAAAGAGCCAGTTAGTGGCAGAATCAGGATTAGAATGCAGGCCTCCTAACTTCTTTGTTCTTTATGTTACATCATTCTACCTCTATCTTGGCTTCCTAACTGTCTGAGGTGGCCAAAAGTAAGAAACTAAATTAGACATTGTTTGAAGTTCCAGTCCACAATTTCCTGTGATTAGCAATGTGTCTGATAATAATCTTGTTTTTTGTCCCACTCTTCCACTTTTCATCTTTGCTCCCCCCCCTTTTTTTTCAAACATAAACTGGTTCATTCTTAAGATTGTAGCCTTCCCTCCCCCACTGAACTGGAGTTTCTCCAAACCTGATTCTCATTGTCATAAAAATCCCAACCAATGTGACAAATTGTATGTCTAATTTTTATAGGAACTGCCTATGGAAATGTTTTACTATAGACATTCTATTCCTAAGACAGTTACTCACAGCTAAAGTAGAGCAGTTGCCCTTCATTATTGGCTTTTCTAAAGTTTACCTGACAAATAGTCTTCATCTAGTTTCTCTTTTGTTTCAGACCTGTATGTGGAATCAGAGGGAAAACGCTCATAATTAACCTGCCAGGTAGCAAGAAAGGGTCCCAGGTAAGCATCATTGATGTCAATATTGTTTTCCATAATCACAGCTCATTCAGTGATCTGAATTGAGCTGTGCATCCCACCTTAAAAATCATCAAAATTTGGTTTGAGTATATGGTTACTAACTTTACGAAAATATGTATCATGTAGCTAAAAGTAGACTGAAACATTCTTTTGCCTCAGACACTTATTAGCTGTATTACCCTGAGCAAGTCACTTAACTTCTGTCTGACTCAGTTTCTTCAACTTAAAATAGGAATCATAATAGGACCTACCTCCCAGGGTTGTTGTGAAGCTTAAATGAAATAATATATGTAATATGCTTAAGCACATTGCCTAGCACACACTTGGTACTTAATAAATCCTTCTTCCACTCAAAGTTTTAAAACTGAATGTTGAAAATTGTTTTTGCATGTAATAGGTAAAATATGAAGTCAGATCTAAGGAGATACTGTGGGATGCCTGAAGTGAGCCATAAAGATTGGGAACAGCCTCTGTGAAGGGTAGAATAGTGAATTAAGAAGCAGAATGACTGCTTTGTTTTGGTGAAGACCCAGTTGAGATTAGATAACAAATTTGTAGTGAACACAGTCAGCACAGTTTTGCAATTTCCTCCAGCTCTGTTCAGGAACAAATAATGAGTGGGTGGATGGCAGGAGAAATCCAGGGTTAGGGTTTGGTAAAGCATGATTACCAAGAAATGGAATAGCACTAACAGCTTTATCAAGATATGCTTATTATCTTTGAATCTGATTCTCCCTTGCTTAAGGATACTCTTTTGTGTATCCCTGAATAATTCTCTTCCTCTAGACCTTTAGGAGAGAATTAACACAAGTTACCAAGCCACCTGGTATAGGAGAAAGTACTGAAAGGAGAGCCAGGGAATTTAATTGGCTGATATGTAGCACACACTGTGCCAGGTCCATCAAGTGGATGTACCCTTTTTGAAAAAGCCCACAACTCATTCATCATTTCATTGCTTCATATTGAACCTGAAGCACATATTTGTTGATCATCTGATATTTACACCAGATATTCATAAGACATTGTATTAAGTTATAAAGAAGGAAGAGTAATAGTTTCCAGTCTTACACTCATGGAGTTTTTAAACTTTTCATTGTGGAAAAACATGTCTATAAATGCATATACATGGTATAAAGTGAATGTGTAGTAAGAGTAGTCTAAAGAAAAACCATCATTTCCAGTTGTGAGGATCAGAGAACAACGGCTTCATTGAGGGGCTCAGGTGCTTTTGCGCATTTATGTCTTGTCTCCCCAAAGTTTTGTAATCTTCATGTAATCTTATTTTTTTAATCTTTGTCTTATTCATTTTTGTTTTTGTAGCAGCTAAATTCAGGGCCTTGTATAAGGCCACTCAGGAAATGCATCGGGCTATTTAGACCACTAGTCAGACTTTAAATCAGGAGATCAGTTTCCACAAAGGCACGTAAGATTTAACTACATTCTGTACTTAATTCCATTGCAGCCTTTCCAACTCAGTCCTAGAATACATGTACTTTTATTCTTATACAGGGAGGGTCTGACTCATGAAGGGGAAGAGAAAACTCAAATTACACTTAGCAGAAATCACTCTGAGATTATAATTCCTGAAATTTGGAAAGGAAACCCTAGACAGAATCTATGAAAGTTTATATATACACTTAGCTTCTATAATTACTAATATTTTACTTCAGTCTTCAAATTATATCTTCTATATTCTTTTCTAAACAGATCCATCATAGTTTCAGTAATGCAATAACTTGTTTTATACTATATGCCCTGACAATTACTTGTAAATTAAATTTACTTGTCATCATTAAATAACTTGTAGGATTACAAAATCCTAGTCAAGTAACTGAAGACCTCAAAAGTACGTATGTATTTTCATCATTGCTGTCCACTGGAGATAGAGGTTTCCAAAGAGAAAGGTGATTTTGAAAAGTATACAGATGGTTAAGAAAAAGGTATTGGAGAATAGGATTTAAATTTCTGTGCCTAAACTTAAAATACAGTATCAAAGAGCTATCAAACTGGCACAAAATACATCCTTTAAGAATAGGGCAGAATACATTTGTCTGTAGACTTACAGATCTGATCAAAACCAGAACTAGAGGGGGAGAGAGAACTGTCCATGTAAATCTTAAGCCAAATACCACTGAGAGTAGCAGGTACAACAAAAACAAATAACAGTAGAGTTCAATAATAATTCAGAGTAGACAAATTCCCCAAAGAGAAACAGTAAATGGCCATGGTTTCCGTTGTACAATGCTTAGGATTACAGGTTTAAAAAATGAACTAAAGAACACAAGGGGGGTAAATTTAGCATCATAGAAAAGTAGACTTATGGCTCAGTAATTATTGATATTTTCTTTGATTGTATTTTTTGATAGTAATGACATGTGTGATTTTTTTCCCCCCAGACATTTGGTATCTCTTCTCTTTTGGGATATTTCGAGATTCTTTCCTTGTCTAAGCTGTTCTTCCTGTCTTCATTTTCTTTACTACATTTTCTACTTACTTATGTAGTCCCTCTGAATCTGAGATATTAGAGCCTAAATATAATAATTTCATTGCCATTGATGGAAAAATTAGTTTCTTAGAGTAATATTGACAAATCTTTTGCAGCTTTCATCCGCTTAATAGTCCTTCCAGTTTTATTCTTACATGATCTTCAAATAATCTGGCTTAATCAGGTCTCTCACTAAGTTTTCTATAGGTGTGTTTTTTCCTTCACTGTTTGTTACTGTTTTCATTGGTCTATACTGTTCCTAGTCTCCCTCCATGCTCCTCCAATGATTTTTTATTATATACTACTGTTGCCATTGGCTGCTCTCTCTCTCTCTCTCTCTCTCTCTCTCTCTCTCTCTCTCTCTCTCCCTCCTTGCCTCCCTCCCTCTCTTTCCCTCTCTCTCTCTGTTTCTGTCTGTCTGTCTGTTTGGCAGGGAGATAAAGAGTTTACTGGCTCATGCAGTTTCTAATTGCTTTTGGCTTCCTTTTCGCAGTGATTAAAATTGAATTTCCTTAGGAAATGGTAATACTTTGTGTTAATGTCTGCCTGTTTATCCATTTTCAACTTCTCAGTGTCAATACCTTGATTAAATGTTAGGTAGGAGTTTAGATTGCAGATTATATTGTCTCATTTTTATTCTTTTTCAGTTTGAGATTAATGTCGCTCTCACAAGTCAGTGGACTGTACACAGAAAACTGACTTGGGAATGGCTCTCATGTTAGGAACCAGTCATTTCCTGTCTGTTAGGATATAAACAATTTCAATTTTTGTGATGTTATTCAATATTCTACCACCCACTGGTTCTCTTATTGAAGAAAATGTTTATCAAGGAGCTCATATGTGGTTTACCAGCTTTTAATCTCTCTCACTTTTGGCTCCTGAGCCACATTTTCCAATATTTGTTTTTGCCATCCTCCTCTGTGCCCATTTTTAAAGTTGTTTTTTTATTTAATTAACAAGTGATTATTTATGCTATGTCTTAGCTCCATTCCCTCATGAATCCTGAGGTGAGAGGAAAAGAGGAAGAAAAATCAAAATAAAGGCCTTGTAACAAATATACATAGTCAAATGAAACAAGTTCTAATAATGGATGTAATAAAAAATACGTATCTCATTCTGCATATTTAGTCTATTACCCCCTGTCAGGAAATGGGTAAAAATCTTCATCATTTGTCCTTTGGAATCATGATTAGTCATTGATAAGCATCTTTAAGTCCTTCAAAGTTGTTTATTTTTACAATGCCATTGTTAGGGTATAAATAGTTATCCTCATTTTTCCCTGTGTCAGTTCATACAAGTCTTCCCAGGTTTCTCAGAATTCATCCCCATCATTATTTCTTACCGCACAAGAGTATTACATTACATTCATATTCATATAATTTGTTCAGCCATTCCCCCATTTATTGGACACTCCCTTCATTTCTATTTCTTTGCCTTTACAAAAAGAGTTGCTATAAATATTTTTATACATATAAGATCTTTACCCCTTTCTTTGATCTGTCTGGGGGAATAGGCCTAATAGTACTATTGTTAGATAAAAGGATAGGCTCAATTTAGTTACTTTGGGCACATAGTTCCAAATTGCTTTCCAAAATTATTGGACCATTTCACAGCTCCACCAGCAGTGGAGCTTTGTCATAACCCTTCCAAAATTTATCATTTTTTTTGTTATCTTTGCCATCCAATGGATATGAGTAGAACCTCAGAGTTGCCTTAATTTGCATTTTTCAAATTATTAATGATTTGGAGCATTTTTTAATATGGCTATAGGTAGCTATGATATTTTTCCCTTGAAAATGTCATGAGGGATTATAAAGGAAGTTAAATAAGACAGAAGGCCTAGGAATAGTTTTGTTATGTTTTGATGATCTTAAAAGAAGAAGGGAAAGAAGGATACACTTGGGAAGAAAAAGGGACAAAGGACAAGGGACACGTGTCTCACATACTTGGAGCCAGTAAAATTTATACAAGCAAGGAAAGGGTAAGGAGAGAGGGCATCATTTGAACCTCACTTTTATTTGACCTGGTCCAAAGAGGATAGAACCCTCAGGGTGTGGTATAGAAATGCATTCAACTCAACAAAACAAGATGGGAGAATAAGAGGAAGGGTAGATTCAGAGAGAAATTAATCATCAAGCAAACTGGGCTCAAAGTGAACATATGAACATGTTAAAAAGGAAAGAAAGAAAAGGTAAAAACTGTTCATTGGAATCTATATGAGGGAAAGAGAAGAGGAGAAGTAGATTGCATCAACCATAGAACACTGGTGCTGAGCACACTTCTCTTCCATAAACTTCTACTTTTTTGTAAAAAGAGAAGTGGGGAACAAAAGCAAAAATATGAAAATAATGTAGAAAGTCAGCTCTGGGCCCACTATCCCTGAGCTAGGTCAGCTACATCTTCCCCTCAGGGTTCTGTGGGTATCCTAAGGGATTAGAATTGTCTTTCTCCACTGCCATCAATTCAAAGTCTCACTGGTTATGTTCCCTACACAGTTAACTGTCAGGGACTAGTGCCTTGGTTCCATTTAGCATCAATTAGCTTTTTCAAAAGGATATTTACTTTGAAAATATAACAATTAAAAAAATATAAATATTTCCCTCAATACCACAAGGCATGTTCTTTCCTGTATGACCCAAGATTTTGTAGAAAGTGGGCTCAGATTTAGCATAATTTATATATAACATTGATACTACTAGCTGATAACTAGCAGATGAATCTTTATCTCACTTGTCACTGGGCTAAATCCTAAATGTCCCAAAGTTCACTCTTTATTCCCCAAGGATCAGTGCTAGACTGGTTACAAAACCCAAGAAGGACTCAAACTCTACAACTCCCAGAGACTAGTTCTTCTGACCTTTTGAACCTCACAAGGTTGGGGTTTCCAAATTATCTCCTTTACCAAAAATAGAAAAGAACAAATAGTGAGGCAAAAGGAGAAAAGCCCATTTTCATGGGCCCATATATCAGCCTCAGTGGAAAGAAGACCCAAGGCCTTTCCTCTTTAGAGCATGGTCACTCACTAGATGCCATCAGTGAAAGACTGAAACCAAGAGAGAGCAGGTAAAATGATTAGCCAGGCTCTGGTCAGCTAGTGCCTTTTTGATTGCCTCAGCAGACAAAGAGCCACCTATTGAATATTGTGATTAACTGACCAAATCCAGTTAGACAATGTCTGTGTGCTCCAGTCTCTCCAAGGCAGTTCCATCACAACTCTTCTAGAAACAGGTTGCCCCGTCTCTTCCACATGAAGCAACACCATCAAAAATGCTCTGTATGTGTTCAATTCCCATTATAATAGGATGGTAGGAAATACATAATTAACGATCATAACCATGAATGTAAACATTTGTGATGAACTGACCTAACCAAAATCTAATAATATGTTGCTTATAAGCAACATGCTTGAAACTAGATTCACCCAGAGTTAAAATAAAGGATTAAAGCAAAAATCATGTGTTCAGGCACAGCAACAGCAAAAATAGTTGATTAAAAAGAGATAAGCAAGGAAACTACTTTTTCCTTATGCCCACCATTGTACTGAAGTCCAATAGAATGTGAAAGCATTAGGAGAGGGACTCATTGGGTTTTTTGTCTTTGTACTTTCAAAATCAAGCACAATACCTGACATATTATAGTAAACACAATAAATTCCTATTGAATGAATGAAAAATGCCAACTATTAGCCTGTATTCTGGTTCGGTATAGAAGATCTTATCAAGTCTTCATAGAATTTCTCTACTTTCTCCTGCTTTGCAATAGATGTTGGCATGTAAGCTGCAGGTATCTTTGTAATAGTATTTTTTCAGATTTTCATCCATTAACACTTCAGTATGATATGATGAAGTATCTCATGAATTAATATTTCTTACTGTCTTTGGATTTATAAGAAAACCAACGCTACCACCTTGTTTATTTAACTCTCCAAGGATATAAATAGATAGATGAGAGAGAGAGAGATTATAGTGATATAAATTCCTTTTAACTATAACTTCTATATATACATATACATACACACACAGAGGGTGTTCCAAAAGTCTTAGTGCAATTTTAAGCTATTTAAGCTTTAATAAATTATTAAAGTTTTATTTTTAACAGTAATATATTATTAAAGCATTAATAGTTTAAAATTGCACTAATTTCTTTGTAACACTATATAGATACAGATATGTAAATAGAGATAAAGGTAGAGAGAGAGAGAGAGAGAGAGAGAGAGATACAGTTTCATTTGTAGCAAGAACATCAATATTGATATGATTGAGTTCCTTACATAATATGGGAGCTTGTTGAACTGTTTCTAGGTTGTCTAACAACTGAATCTTAACACACTCATCTTCTTTTCCATCACTCTGCTATCAACACTGCAGCAGTAGAAAAAAAGCCACATAGGACTGAGAACCATTTGTAAATGATCTTTGTTTCATGTGTTTCCATGACCCCAAAATGTATCAGTTAGTTGCCAGCCTATTGGTAGTGGCTTTCTGTGTACTAAACTAGCATGGTCTTCAGAAAGCAAGCACACAGGTTTACTAGGATCTTAACCTGAAGCTTTTCCAACTTGTTAGACTTATTGGGTTTGTGGTCTGTTAGATAAGAGCTCCTCAGGGTAACCTTTATGCCAAAAGGAAATGATGGATTAGGACTTCGAGGAAGATTATTTGAGATGTATATGCGTTAAAAATACCCAGGCCAAAAACACCTAATGTTTTCTCCTCTATTAATACTTCCATTGCTCCCTACCCATCACCAATTAGGAGTAATCATCTGAACTCTTCACTCTGAATTACTATACACTAGGCACCGCTCATTGTACTTTTAAATTATATCAGCTCTCATTTATCTTTTCTTACCAGGAGACTGTAATATCCATGAAGTCAGGGACAATATTTAGTGTTTTCTGTGTGTTCTACATAATATATAGCATAGACCTTAGGAACTCAGTAAATAATTGTTTTAAGATTGAATGAATAATGTAAAATAGAATGTGATGAGTGTGTAATAGAGTTGCAGACATAGTCCTTTGAAATTTTAGAGAAAGGATAGAGCTCTGAGAATAAATTAGTTTATTCATCATAATAATCTAATACCATGTTCTAACTGTAACTGTGAAAATTTTTTTTCCACTTCTTCCAAAAATCTGTTTTTAGATACCATTTGTATGTGCGGTATTCAATTCATTCTAGAGAAATGTTGTATTTGAAATTTTTGTTTTATGGCCCACACAATGTGATGTTTGTGGCCTGAAAAGTAATCTCTTCATAAATATAGTGTTTCAAATATGTTCCTTTTTGTTCATATTGCCCCCTTGAAAGCTCTATGTTTTAATTTATTGAGTGTTCATGCTGCCATTCTGGTAACAGATAGGTAAAAAGGTTAGTACAGCATCTCAAGTAATTTTCATCATCATCTTTTTATATGCCCAAAAGGCACCCCTTCATTATATTCTTTTCTTCCTCTTGCACACAGGAATGTTTTCAGTTTATACTGCCAGCCCTACCTCACGCCATTGACCTTTTACGTGATGCCATTGTAAAAGTAAAAGAGGTGCATGATGAACTTGAAGATTTGCCCTCTCCACCGCCTCCTCTTTCCCCTCCTCCTACTACTAGCCCCCACAAACAGACAGAAGACAAAGGGGTTCAGTGTGAGGAAGAGGAAGAAGAGAAGAAAGACAGTGGCGTTGCTTCAACAGAAGACAGTTCCTCATCACATATAACAGCAGCAGCAATTGCAGCCAAGGTAAGTCTACTTAATTTAGAAAGGGAAGTAGTTTTAGTTTCTATATTAAATAATACATGATCCCTTTGGGGCTTTTTATGAATATTAGTATTTTGAATTACAAGAAAGGAAAACATTATAATTTTAAGATAAATTGTGTCATTAATTCCACACCACAAATATCCCCCCCCTTAAGTAACCATTTTAATGCGTCCTTGAGTATTTTCTAGGCTAGTTTATTCAATCACTGTCTCACATATCACTCATGTTTACCTGAGTGATTACCTAAAATACATTTCTCTGTAGCCTTTTCTCATATACGTATTGATGCTAATTTTATATAATAATAATAATTCCTTTTGTAATGAGTTATCTATCATTCCATAGAATAACTTACAAGCTAAAGTTTACAATTTTAGAAAATAGAATTGCTAGCTGTTAAGTCAATGTATAAAACATCATTATCCCCAGAAACATAATGCTACTTTTTGCTGATGTTCAGAAACTGTGAATGGATTTTGTTATTTGTAAGTTACAATAGCAGGGTCTTATGTTCTTTAATTCTTTATAAGGAGACCCCATCTACCCAACTTCTTTATGAAACTCCATTCTTCTCCCTAGGATTACTCAAATGGGAAGATACCAAATCTTGTCTCATTTGGATATATGTTACATATATTTGCCACTATAATTTTTCCTTTAGAAATCAAATGCAGTATTATCCGTTGTTACCTTAGCTTCCTGACATAATTTGATTAAGATAGCATTTGAATGAATGTTTCATTTAAGAAAATATAACAGTGCTAAAAAAAATTAGTGATCATCTAAATGAAGTGTATGTTTTGTTTCATTGACTTGTATTTTATTTTTAATATTCCTTTTCGTTCCCCAACCCTATCTCACTTTGAAAATTCCTTTTGCTATTCTCTTAAGAATTTATGAGTATCTGACAAGTGCGTAAGTCATTTTCAAATGCCAAGACAAAACAACACTCCTAGAATCTTCTTAGGTGTCTCACTGTTCATCATTGCAATTTTTGTTTCAGTGCATAATTAGTAGGTCATCTTTACCACCCTACATAGCACAGCATCCAGCACAGATATCATGTAATACTTCTAGGAGACCAAGGGAAAGTGAAACATACAAGAAGAGTGTCATTAAGAATCCAGTTTAATGTGAACTTCCTCAGTAATCTTGTTAACTCACTGAAATATTCTGAAACAAATGTGGGGAACTTCAAAAAAGAAGGAGAATGGAATCAATCCACACACGTAGAGGGGTTCTTTAGGCTTTTAGATTCCACCTAGCCCAGAGACAGTGTCCTCGGGTCAGGTCGCTATTGCCATTCACCACTTCATATGCATTAAGCGTTTGTTTTTGTTTTATCAGTCATATTATGCTGTTTCTTGTTTAAAAGCGAGCAATTTATAAGAATGGAAATGAGGAATGATTATTGCTTCTCTATTGCCCACTATTCAGAGATCATTTCCTTACATGTAAAAATCTTCTGATTTTACTCTGTAAAATACTGTATTAGGTACAACTAGAATTATAAATTCACCATTGCTGATTGAAGTTTTATTAATACAGTTAGCAATGCAATATCAGACTTAGTGTGTTGATTATCTTGAAATAACTGGAGCCAATGACTTAATTTCTTTAAAGCAATGTGGAACTTAAGATTTAAATTGTCCATTCCCCTCTAAGTTTGTAAGAATTTGTCATTTCATTGTCCCATCTGTTTTCACCCTTGTTCTTTTCCAGTCATTTTGCTTGTATAGTTTCATGTTTCCTATCACTGTGTTCATGGCTGTTATGTGTTGTACATTAGAAGCATCCATTCTACACCAGTACTGCTGTTATCATGGCACACGGTGAGCAGCCCATTCCTGGTCTCATCAGTTATTCCCATCACGCAACAGGCAGTGCAGGAGAACGGGTAAGACATACCTACAAGAGGCTTTTGCATTAATGGTTTTTGTGAACATACTGCCTGCCTCCTATCCTAGTATTTAGAAAAGATGTGTTTGTCAGTTTTTTATGCTGATGAATCTTCAGCTGTGCTTTTTTTTTTAATGTGAAATTTAAATGCCATTGAGCATAAGGGAATTACATTTAACAGAGTTTCTACTGTGACTGAAGCATTTAGTTTAGGATTAAGTTACTGGGGTTTGTCAATAAGCTTTTATCACATAACCACCAAGAATTTCATCACTTAGAAGTCTGTGTTTCTGATTGTTCAGTAGTTTCATATCATATCTTTAAATAAATTGCCCAACCTAATTAAACTAATCCCTTAAAATGATCACTTTAGAGTTTTAAAATCTATTTTCTTTTTTCATCATTTAAAATATGTTTTCTTTTTTTAAGTAAATTTCAGTAGATAACTCCTTCTACTTATATTTTCTTCGTTTTAACCACATATTCATTCTTTAATTTCTGTATTTGGTTTCTTACTCCTTCATTGTTCCCTTTAGTTCTAAATCAGTGATCCTTTGATTTCTTGATCTTTTCCACATATATGTATTTAAGAAATAGTGGCTGTCTTTATAAACTACAAAAAAAAAAAACCAACAACAACTGGGGAAACCAAACATAGAAGCTTTAGGGAGGAACAAAATAACCTGGTTAAGATAATGACTGAATAGGAGTTAAGGAAAAAAAGGAAAGATTTAGTTATTCAGGAAAGATGAATAATGAAGGACATTAAGTTGTTATATGCCACTCTATAAGGAGAACCAGAATTACTCACCTCCAGTACGCAAATGGATCTGTGACCTCCTCCTCAGTTCAGGAATTCCCCCCAGCATTGCAATTGCAACCCATCAGTACCTGGCCATCCTGTGTAACTGTCATCCAGATCCTCCCAAAATTTTGTGACCAGACATCTTCCCAATGTCCTTGAGGCTTTCCTCACTTTTCTCCAACATTGTGTGGGCACCAGTGGAACGCTTTGGTCATATATTTGTCATCCCTTGTTCTTGCCTCGTGTCCAGCCTATCTTCTTTCTGTCATAAAATGGTTTAATGACATCTTTTATTCCTATTCTTTAGAATTTGTCGTTGGTAATATGTCTCAACTTGCTCACATCCACCATGCACCTTTCCATGCCCCTATTTTTGATGTTCATCTTTAATTCTTCAGAGGTAGTAACGTTCCAAGTCTTACTTTCATACAGCAAAACTTGTAAACTGTTTGTATTGTAGGGGCCTTTGCTGTTATGGGAGGTTTGGGGTCATTAAGAATGCTTTGTGATTTCCCAAAAATAATCCAACCTGCTCTCCTCCTTTTCAACTCTGGTTCCAGCTCATTGTATTATTTGTCTCAGATGTACATACTGTTGGACAAGCTTGATAGTTTCCATTCAGATGTATAATGAAGTCTAGGCAATAGATATTCTTCATCCATTTGTTCTTTCCTATGTGGATAGATAGGCCAGACTTCATTTAGTGATTACAGATGTCTTCTATTAGGCTCTGCAATGTCCTGGAGCTTGATGCAACCAATACAATGTCATCCTCAAACAGAAGCCATTGGAGGACCTCAGGCCCTCCTCAACCTGGACATTATGCTCTATCTCCTCCATCACAATAGTAAATACCTCTGGCAAGCATACATCTACCAGTTTTTATGCATTGCCCTATGTTTATTTTCACTGGGTTATTGAATAGGATTATTCCTGTTGCTATATCTTCCAAAGAAAATTGATTGATCCTGATGAATCTGTGGGAAACACCTTGTGGTAAAAGAACCTGTAAGGTGACATGAGTGTTGGGTATGGAAATCTGGGTTACCCTACAGGAAAATAGGGAGGAAGGGGACAAGAGAGCAGGAGGATGATAGAAGGGAGGGCAGATTGGGGTAGGGGGTAATCAAAAGCAAACACTTCTATGGAGGGACAGGGTCAAAAGAGAGAATAGAATAAATGGGGAGGTGGGATAGGATTAAGGGAAATATACTTAGTTTTTCACAACATGACTACTATGGAAGTGTTTTGCATGACTACTCATGTATAACATGTATCGAGTTGTTTGCCTTCTCAATGAGGATGGGTGGGGAGGGAGGAAGGGAGAAAATTTGGAACCCAAAGTTTTAAAAACAGAAGTTAAAAGAAATTGTTTTCACATGCAGCTGGAAAATAAGATATATAAGAAATGGGGTATAAAAGTCTATCCTGTTCTACAGGAAAATTGAAGGGGAAGGGGATAAGAGAAGGGGGGAGAGATACAAGGGAGGGCAGATTAGGAGAAAGGATATTCAGAATGCATGCCATTTTGGGGTGGGGGGAGGGATGAGATGGGGAGAAAATTTGGAACTCAAAATCTTGTGGAAGCGAATGTTGAAAACTAAAAATAAATTAATTAATTAAGAAAAAAAAAGAACCTGTAAGGTGGCATTTTGTTTTACCAGCTCAAGTAAAACCAAAGTTTTACCAAGTTTCTTGATAAAAAAAACCAAGAAACAATAAGCACAATGGGAAATTATATTCTCCTCTTCTTTCAGTAAATTGTGAGGTGGTAAAGATGTAATCAGTTGTCAGATATCATTTGCCAACACATACTTGGTCCCTACTAATAGCCTCATTGAAGATGCCCTTGTTTTGTATATAGATTACCCTGATAAGGATTTTGTGTATCTGGGACAGTAGGCATATGTGTTGGTAATTATGGATGATTAATCATTCACCTTTTTTGGTATCAATAAGGTCCAAGATTTTTGCCTTGCCCTTGGTGTCTTCCTTTCCTTTAGAAGCCTTGAAAGGAGTCCCTGAATGCCCTGCCTTCAGAATGGATATCTTAATCTGTATTTATTTGATCCAATCCAACTCTTTTTGTCATCTTTAGTGCTATTAGCACTTCCTCTGTAAGCGTCCAAAGGATTGTGATATTAGGGCCCAAGTGTAGTAGTTCCACTGTCACAGAAGCAAAGAATCTGAGAATTAAAAGATAACTCAGTGGCTGTCTAATCCAACCCATGCATGAAAGGGATCCCCACCACAACATACATAAGTAGTTTTTGCTCTGCTTGAAAATTTCCAAGGAGAGGAAATACGCTGCCTTTCTAGGTATTCCATTAAATTTTTGGGCACCTCTAATTCTTAAGAAATTTTCCCAACATCAAGCCTAAATTGGTCTTTTTGCAGCTTCCACCTGTTGCTCCTGGTTTGGCTTCTGGGACCAAATGGAATAAGTCTAGTCCCTCCTACACAAGGCATCCCATCAAGTACTTGAAGACAGCTATGATGTACTCCCTTAGTCTTCATTTCTGCAGGCTAAATATACTTCATGTGACATAGACTGAAAGCCCTACTACACCATTCTGGTTGCCCTCCTCTGGACACTCTCCAGTTTATCAAGATCCTTAAACTGTGTTTCCCGGAATTGAACAGAATACCCCAGATGAAGTCTTAGGAAGATAGAATACAGTGGGCTATTGCCTCTTTATTCCTGGAAGCAGCCTAAGATCACATTAGTTTTTTTAGCTGACATATCCCCATAGCTGATGTACATATATACATGTATATATGTATGTATGTATGTACATAATTTATGTGTGCATACATATATACAGAGAGAGAAAAAAAACACAATCCACTAATACTCCCAGACCTTTTCAGAACTATTTATTATTATAAATTCTACTCTTAACTCTGATGAGTCAATGGTCTGACCATATACAGATAGTTGACTCCAGAATAACTCCCAAGTCCATTAAAGTCTTTTCCTGGCTTTTGAAATGGAACCAATTTAATTCTTTGTGATTTCATTTGATTCCTGCAATGTCTACCTCCTACCAATTCTTTTTTTTTTTAAGACTTGAAAATAAAGAGGCATGAAACTTCTATATAACCTCTCTAATTTCTTTCTCCTGAACCATACTTTCCCATATATTTCTCCCCCTCTCACATTTTCCCACTTTTGCATTTAAATTACCAAGTATCAGCATATGTTGATTTGATTTGAAGAGGTTTATTAAGTTCTTAGAATTTCTTTACCAGTTTGTCTTCATCATTATTTTCATAGTGGTCCTTTTGCAAATATTTCTCATTACAAGATGAACATATGACTCATGCAATAATATTTCATATAGATTTGAAGTATACTATAAAATTCACTCCAGCTTTTTTCTTTGCCTCTGTAAAGAGTAATCCTATCTCTCTATCTGTATGCAACTTCCTTCTTTGTTCTTATTTATAGACGAACTATCGAGATGGAAATGATTCACCTTCTCCAGCAGTATGTCCAGTCATTAATCACTGGACAAGTCTCTCATATTTAGAGTATCAACAGTCAAATTAAAGTTTGTTGATGGTTAAAAAACCATGTGATTCTTAGTACCCTCTGACTCTCTATCACTTTGCCACTGTCATAATAAAAATAGAAGGGGGACTGAGGACTGAGCACCACTTTAAAATTTTATTTGTTTCATAGGTTGCCATGACCAAAAAAAAAATTGCATTATCATGATAGCCAGCCTACCAATAAGGTTTCTCTGTGTGATTAGCTATTCTTCTCCTTGGAAAATAGACTCAGTCTATTCCCCAGGCCAAAATGGAAGCCTTCAGCATGGTAGAACCCAGTGTCACTTCCATGTAATAACAAAGCCAGAGTAGGACTTTTGTAGAGGAATGTGAAGTTCAAAATACAAAATATAACAAATGCAAATTAAGCACCCTGTGTGCTTATGTACTGTTTTGACTATGGGACTAGAGATGGATTTAACATTTATTTGCTGCCCTCAGGATATTTACAATCTGATAATAAATCTAGTCTCTATAAAATGGTTTTCAGTGTGACAAATTCCCAAATTTTAATTTTTACAAAATAAGCATACCTAGATAAAAAGTGTTTTTATCAAAAATAAAGAGATAAATTTAAATTTGTATTAGTAAAATAAATAACAAAATTGAATTGATAACTGAAAAATGAGTTCTTTTAA